TCGGCGATCATCAGCGATCGAGACCCGAAATTAACGTCGAAGTTCTGGCAGGAGGCGTGGGCACAGTACTTTACCCGCCTGCAGTTTTCGTCGTCATACCACCCGCAAACCGACGGACAGACGGAACGGACAAATCAGACCATGGAGCAACTGATTCGCACCAACTGCCCAGATATCCGCAAGTGGGAGGATTCGCTGCCGATGCTGGAATTCGCGTACAACAACGCCCCTTCGGCCACGACTCGACAATCGCCTTTCTTCCTAAATTACGGGATAGACCCCGTGGTACCCTCTTCAACGACTGTGGACAACCCGGTACCACGCTCGCAGCAGTTTGTCACGGAGCTGCAGACCACCCGCACGAAAGCAGCTGATTTTATTCGACGGGCTAATACCACAGCCAGCCGCCAGGCGGACAAGCATCGACGGAATTTACCCTTCCGCGCAGGGCAGGTTGTGCTCTTGGACTCCTAGAATCTTCATCTGTCGCAGCCCGCAAAATTACGGCCCCGATACGTGGGACCATTTCGGATCATCCAGATGGTGACACCTGTCACCGCGAAGCTGCTGCTACCCGACGACTGGAAAATTCATGACGCGTTCCACGTCAGCCTACTGCGTCATTACGAACAGCCGCAGTCGCCAGCTGTTGCTCGGCCAACCATCGCGCCGACCACCCGTCCAGTAGCAGAACCCACGCTGGAACCTTGGAAGATTCTCAACCATCGCGTGGACGTCACCGCCGCCGGCCGCTCGGTGAAATTCCTGCTTCGCTGGAAAGAACGCACGAGCGAGGACGACACGTATGTCACCGCAGACTCGCTACTGGGACATCCGGTTGTGGATGCTTACCTGGCCCGCCGAGGTGTCTCGGATATTCACCACCTTTCTTAAGGGGGGGGGTAGTGTAAGGAATTTTCCGGATTCCTTACTGGGTCACTCCGTACGCGTACAACCCCGACTTTCGGAAAACCAGGCTCGGCCCGCCGACCTCGCCTTCCGAGCCACCACCGCGTCGCCTTCGGGTTTTCCAACCCCGAACCTGCACCCAACCATCTCGCGACCCCGCGACCTCGGCCTAGCTAGCCTTGCTATATTGTGCCTAGGCCTCGTTGTTCAGTCAGACGTTGTAATCACTTCCGCGTTATTGAATTCTGCGCACTCTTTCATTCACAACTCATAACAGTTTCGCCTTGGTAACTGCCTGCCTTGGATGTTTCCTATATAACTCAATATATTGCATGCCTCTTATCACACAATTCTCAAGCTTATGTCCGGCTATCCCTCAGCCGCCGCAGTGGCACCATGTGCCAGGCCAGAAGTGCTACCTCTGAGTGACCAATTGCCCCGCCGTATAGACGTCGTTAATTCCTAGAGTATTTCCGCTATTCTAGCGACCTCCTAATTTCAACATAAACAATCGGACAGCTGATGAAACATTTTGCGTTAAATTGTTTTCCCCAATTGACCGGACGTCACTATTTAGTAAGTGGATGGACGTCGCATCAACGCAATTTTACTGGTCGACGAACTGATTTCTTCGAATCGCCTGGCTGTTACCGTATGGCCCTGGATAGAGGCGAAGACCTATTAAAAGCGCATGCGCTTCTATCTGGAGCAATGCGCTTATGGCCGATCCTCAATTATAAGCGCACCCCTTGTAAAACCCTGACTTATTATAAGCGCATGTATAATAATAATATTTTGAACTTACTTGAAACGGTAACGAATTTCAAATTTGCAGCGAGGTCACACAAATTTCGGCTCGATTGACTCGCGAGGACCTTACATTCTGCGCGTCCAGTCATTATGAGCTGTCTCAAAGTAACTAGGCAAGAATGAATCAACTAGCAGAAGTTTGGGTACAAATATGAAACCCTAGTTGGGGTTGTACCCCATATTGGCTACCCCACTACAGCCTACAAGCATAATACAGTTTAACACACCCCCATAGGCAAAGTGGGGGAGAACAAAGGGTCACAAGACCAGTCCAGCAAAGCAAAGCAAAGCCCAGGGTGGATCACAACGTCACCACGCTCCGAGCACAAGTAAAGGCCACAAGGCCAGTTCACATGCAGTGCTAGATATAGTACAAGACAAACAACACAGTGATCAAAACCTAGCAAGCAAGTAACAAGATATATATAAAGTACAGTACAAAGAATGTCAAGCAGTGAGCAAGTGAGGAAACGTGGACACAAGGCCTAAAGAAGTACAGTGCCGCTGATGATCACTAGGCGGGAGCGCCTTGGTGAAGATATCAGCAGTGTTGGCCTTCGAGTCCACGTACACAAGCCGAAGCTGACCGCGCTGCTGAAGCTCTCGAGCAAGAAAGTAGCGAAGAGCAATGTGCTTCGTCCTGTGCTCCAGTCTGTGCTCCTGACACAAGGCAAGAGCCGCCTTGTTGTCACCGTACAGAACTGGAGGAGAACTAGGCCGCTCTCCCAAGTCAGTCAGCAGGTAGGTGAGCCAGCGTAACTCCTGTGCAGCCATGGCTGTGGCGTAGATCTCAGCCTCACAACTAGAGCCGAGAACAGAGGAAGAGCGGGTGGACCGCCACGAGACAGAACCAGAACCAAGGCTGAAGGTGTAACCCTGTGACGACCGCTGCGTAGCCAGGTCGTCCACCCAAGAAGCGTCCGAGTGGCCAGTGAGGACAACTCTGTCGCGTCCTCCAAGCACCAGCCCCATGCCTGATGTACTGCACAAGTAGCGCAGCACCCTCTTAGCAGCCTCCCAGTGCTCTCGCCTGTGTCTCCCAGGCGCAACGTAACGAGCAAGGATGCTAAGAGGGTACGCGAGGTCAGGTCGCGTGCAAGTCATCAGGTACATGAGGCAGCCCACAAGCTCTGGGTACGGGCCACTCGGCTCTACGGACTCGTCCGGAGGTGGAGCTGAGAGCGAGTGGCTGGTAGCCAGAGGTGTGGCCTGTGGTGAGGAGAACTGGAAGCCGAAGCGCTGAAGGACCTGCTGCACCATGTGTGACTGAGTCAAGGTGATGGTGCGGCGAGCTCTGTCCCGGGTGATCTGCAAGCCAAGGTAGCTACGCAGCTCACCCAGGTCAGTGCAGGTGTGTCTCTTCTGCAGCTCCGACTTCACACGAGCGAGTGCCTCAGTGTCAGCAGTAGCAAAGACCAAGTCGTCGACGTACACGAGAATGTAGAACGGCGGCAGCGACGTGTCTGTGCGCAGAAACAGCGACGGGTCAGCAGTAGACGGCGCGAACCCAAGAGCCGCAAGTGTAGTCCTCAGTGTGTCGTGCCACTCGCGTGGCGCCTGGCGGAGACCGTAGACTGGCCGGCGGAGGCTCCACTGGGTACCAGGAGGAAACGACCCAGTAAAGCCAGGTGGGCGGCGCAGCCAGATCTCCTCGTGCAGGCTGCCCTGCAGGAACGCTGTGCTGAAGTCAAGAGAGTGAAGCTCGTAGTCACGCTGAGCAGCAACGTGCAGCAGAACCCGAAGAGTGGTCATCTTCGGGGTGGGGGAGAAGGTCTGGAAGAAGTCGACCCCCTGACGCTGACTGAAGCCTCTAGCAACGTAACGAGCCTTGAAGACAGGCGGAGAACCTGGCGGCCGCTTCACCCTGAAAATCCACATGCCATCGACGATGTTCGCCCCAGGAGGGGGAACCTCGTCGACGTAGGTGCCTGTGGACTTCCAGGATGCCATCTCTGCGTCCATGGCTGTCTGCCACTGAGAGGAGTAGGGACCCGAGATCGCCTCTGCGTAAGTGCGCGGAGTGGGGATGTCTAGTGCATCCGGGTCTCCCTCAGGGGCAAGCAACGAGGCCACGAGATGAGGTACAGCAGCCGCGAGAGAGTCAAAGTCCTCCTGCCTGTCCTCAAGGACGTCCGTGCCAAGAGCACACTCACCCCCGACGGACGGAGGACAGACAGACGCAGACCCAGACCCAGCAACAAGGCGAGCAGCGTAGTCTAGACGACAGGCAGCAGCAAAGTCAACCAACTCAGCGACCAGAGCAGACGCAGCCGAGGACTCAAAGGTAGGGTCAGTGACAACAGTAGCTAGGAGACGCGTGACAGTAGGGTGCTCAGCACGATACCGGTCAGACTCAGGGTCCGGAACAGCAGGCAAAGAGGACGCAGGAGGAGACGGCAGAGGGACACGCTGAGGAGCAGTAGAGGGACGCAGAGTCATGTAGTGAGTGCCTGGGACAGGAGGAGGACGCTCACGACGGACACGACGACCAGTGCGAGCAGTACGGACAGGCGACGCAGGACGAGACTCAGGCTCACGACGCTCTGCAAGACCTCCTGTGGGACCAGTGTAAGGAGAGGGAGCAGGGAGAGGCGAGGTAGGCGGTAACTGTGACTGCGGCTGGACAGGCGGAGGACACTCGACGGAGGGAGGAGGACAAGGAGGAGGAGCCTGCCCAAGAACCTGCTGAAGGAGCGGTACGAAGTACGGTCGCGGCCGCGCAGTGTCTCCAGAAGCAGAAGAGACTCCAGCGGCCGGGTCCTCAGTACCAGCAGGAGCTCCAACGTCCGGGTCCCCAGCACCAGCAGCAGCGCCACCGCTCGGGTCCTCAGCTCCAGCAGCAGCTCCACCAGGTGGGTCCGCAGCAACCTGTCACCGGAAGTACCAGTCACGAAGCTGCTGCGGTGTGAGAGACTGCTCAGCACCCCGAACCGGAGCACCCCCAGACGCAGCAACCCGAGGCTCCGTAGGCTCAGCAGCAGCACCCCCAGGCTCAGTACCCGCAGGCTCAGCACCCCCAGACTCAGCACCCCCAGACTCCGCACCCCCAGACTCCGCACACGCAGGCTCAGCACCCTCAGTCGCAGCACCCCCAGGCTCAGCACCCCCAGGCGGCAAACTCTCAGGCACAGTACCCTCAGCTCCAGCACCCGCAGTCCCAGCACTCCCAGGCCCAGCACCCGCAGGCTCAGCACCCCCAGGCTCAGCACTCCCAGCAGTACCACCTGCAGCAGCACCTGAGTCACCTGTGACCTCGACAGGCTCAGCGACGGGAGGAGGGTCTACCTGAGAGACACCTGAAGGAGCAGGACCCTGAGGGGGAAGGGGGTCTACCGGAGGGGGGCCAGGAGCAAGGAAAAGCGGTGGGGGAGGGAGGGGGGCAGTGCGGTAGGGGAAGAGACGGTAAAAAGGGACCGACTCGTCAAAGGTGACATCCTGAGAGGCGAAGACCCGGCGCGAGGTGGGGTGGTAAAACTGCCAGCCAGGCGCGTCAGGGACAAAGCCAAGGAAGACACAGGGAAGCGTGCGGGAGGAGAGCTTGTCCGCGGACGTATCGCGGACAAGGGCACGAGCACCCCACACCCGGAAGCGCGACGCATCGCCAACCTCCCCCGTCCAACGCAGTGTGGGCGAGGTCTCCGGCAAGGAGACACGGGGCCAGAGGTTGAGCTGATGCGCGGCGTACCGGACAGCAAACGGCCACAGAAAATGGGGAGCCGCCGCGTGGACCAAGGAGGTACGAGCGACCTCCATGACCAGGCCAATGCGGCGCTCAGCAACCCCATTCTGCTGTGGGGAGTCCGGAAGCGTGAAGGTCTGCTCAATGCCCTCCGCCTGACAGAAGGTCCTCAAGAGATCGGAGGAGAACTCACCACCTCTGTCAGAGTGCAGACGCAGGACAGGAAGATCCGTCCGGAAACGGCGGCGGAGCTGGAGACGAACTGTGCGGATCCAAGGGATCAGAACAGCAGGGACCTCACCCTTGGTGCGCAAGGGGAAGACCGTGGTGTAACGCGAGTAGTCGTCGACAACCAGCAAAAAATACCGCTCACCGCCCTGACCACGAACGCGGGCTGGGCCCCACACGTCCAGGTGGAGGGTCTGCAGAGGAGCCTCTGTCGGGGGGAACGAGGAGGAGTGAGGAGCGGCGCGCTGCCGCCCTTCGACACAGGGAAGGCAAGGCGGCGCAGGCGAGGCAGGGAGGGGAGGGAGGGACCTGGGAAGACCAGACACAAGGTGGCGACGGTGCATGCCACGAAGGCGTGGCAAGGAGGGGTGACCCAGGCGGTGGTGCCAGAGAAGAGTCTGGTGCGACAGGGAACGACACTCACAGGCGTGGGCTACCAGACCTGACGCAGACACCTGACCGACAGCAGCGACCTGAGGAGACGCAGTGGACAGTGTGTAGAGACTCGACCCCGGCCGACGGGTAAACGTAGCCAGGTGACGGCCGGTCCTGGAGCACGTGCAGATCGCCACACGCTGTCCTCCAGGGGTAAAGGTGTCAACCCACTGATCCTGGAGGACAGCGTTGCTCACCAGGTTCGTCGAGAACGAGGGGAGGTGGAAACCTGTCAACGAGCCAGACGGAACCGCCGGACAAGGGAGCACAGTGGTGGACTGTGCAAGGACTGGGCCCCCAGAGGGGTCAGCCAAGGAGACTGGGACCGGTGCAGGAAGCGGTGTGAGCTCAGTACTGTCACGAAAGAAACAGCGGGAAGCACCTGAGTCAAGGGTGAAGGTGTGACAGGCCTCAGCCGGTGCGGTACCTGAGAGAGCAGTCTCTGTGGGTGCTGTACCTGAGAGAGCAGACTCGCAAACAGCCGGGACAGCACTGGAGGGAGCAGGTACAGGGGGCACCATACCAGAGAGAGCAGACTCACTAGCACCTAGGGCAGCGGGCTCTATACCTGGGTCAGGCGGCACACACAAGTAACAGTCTCCCTCGGCACTAACAGTCAATGCATACATGGCAGCAATAATAGCATCATAGTCAAGAGCAAAGATATCAACACCAGCCCTCATCAGCTCAGCCCAGCGAGGGCGCTCAACATCCTCGCCCATCTCCTCACGCCAAGCGTCGTCAAGGCGGAAGAAGCAGCGGTACTGAGTGTGGAACTTTCCACACGTCTGCCCCTTGCGATCACCTGTGCGAATGACATAGGAACAGCGGCCACTGCCCCCCGACGTCCCACGCTGAGCAAGCCACTCACGAAGCTGCTGGGTCGACTGGGGACGCTGCTGCTGCTGGGAGCTCTGGCCCGAGCCGGTGCCTCCACTCCGACCTCCACCGCCGCCACTACCTCCGCTCCGACCGCCACCACCGCCACCGCCACCGCCACTACCGCCACCGCCGCCACCGCCGCCGCTGCCACCACCGCCACTGCTCCCGCCGCCGCCCCCGCCTCCGCCGCCGGCCCCACTCCCACCGGCACTCCCGCCACCGCTCCCTCCAGCACCGCCTCCCCCCCCACCTCCCCCACCCCCTCCCCCCCCAGCGCCACCCCCGCCACCCTTGCCCCCCTTGCCCTTGCCGGTGCGGCGCCTCCCACCAGGAGCAGAAGCAGCGCCAGCAGACTCAGCACCAAGGAAGTCAACAGCAGCAGCAGTAGCATAGGAGGGAGCGAGGGGAGAGGGAGAGCACCCCTCAAAGATGGGGGTGCGAGGAGCGCCGCGAGCAGCACCAACAGCCACAATGCTCTTCTCGGCTGCTAGCAGCTTCTCCTCTAGGAGGGCGACAGTGAGCTCAGTGGGACAGCGAGCAAGGAAATAGTCGCGCACTGAGCTGAGGGTGTCAGGGAGACGGGTGACTATGAAGTGGAGTGTCCAGTACAGGGGAGGGGGGTTCTTAGCGCAGAACTCGGTGGGAAGGGCGGCACGCAGGCGAGCATCACTAGTGCGAAGGTGGGTGATAAGATCGGCGACTGTAGCAAAGGTGGACAGGTCAGGGAACAGGTAAGGCAGCATGAGACGGCTAAGCTCGGCTGTGGCAGGTGAGGAGTAGCGAGCAACGACAGCGTCATATAGGGCCTTAGCGGTTTTGCAGTCGCCAAAGTGCTCTAGCTCAGCTAACGGCAGGTGACTGCGAATAGCCAGGCGAGCTGCAGCGTCACGAGTCTGCCACTGTGAACGTACACTAAGCTCGGCTGTGGCAGCAGGAGCAGCGGCAGCACCAGACGCGTAGTCATAGAGGGAGATGTGGTCCGTGCTATTGCTCATAAGATACAACTGCAGGTCATCGAGCCAGGAAGTGAACTGCACGGGACGGCCCTCAGCATCGAAGGAAAGAACGCGAATAGAGGCCATAGCTCAGGCGTGAGGGCACAGCAGAGCAGCGGCAGCAGCAGAGGGGACGCGCTAGAGCGAAGCTAGCAGCCACAGCAGGAGCAAGCGGCGGTGCACAGTCAGGGAGCAGCAGGCGAGGCGGGCGGCGCTGCAGGCGGGAATTGTGGCGGGCGGGCTGCGAAGCGGGCAGCGGGACGGGCGGGCGACGCGGCGAGCGGACAGCGCGGCGGGCGGCTGCGAAGCGGGCAGCGGGCGGGCGGGCGACGCTGCAAGCGGGCAGCGGGCGGGCGGGCGACGCTGCAAGCGGGCAGCGAGGCGGGAGGGCGACGTTGCGAGCGGGCAGCGGGCGGGCGGGCGACGCTGCGAGCGGGCAGCGAGCGAGCGGGCGACGCTGCGAAGCGGGCAGCGGGCGGGCGGGCGACGCTGCGAAGCAGGTAGCGGGCGGGCGGGCGGCGCTGCGAGCGGGCAGCGAAGCGGGCGGGCCGCGAAGCGGGCAGCTAGCGGGCGGGCGGGCCGCGAAGCGGGCAGCGGGCGGGCGGGCTGCGAAGCGGGCGGGCCGCGAAGCGAGCAGCGAGCGGGCGGGCGGGCCGCGAAGCGGGCAGCGGGGCGAGCGGGCTGCGAGCAGGCAGCGCGGCGGGCGGGCGACTCTGCGAGGGGCGCGCGAGGGCGCTAGCGAGGGGCGCGCGAGGGCGCTAGCAAGGGGCGCGCGAGGGCGCTAACGAGGGGCGCGTGAGGGCGCTAACGAGGGTGCGCGAGGGCGCTAACGAGGGGCGCGCGAGGGCGCTAACGAGGGGCGCGCGAGGGCGCTAACGAGGGCGCACGAGGGCGCTACGAGGCTAGGGCACGGGGTAGCGTGGTAACCGCATGCGAGCGGTGGTGGGCCCTTAAAAAAAACGGTCGGTAGGTCCTAGGGACCTCCTGCTCTGAATACCATCTCAAAGTAACTAGGCAAGAATGGATGAACTAGCAGAAGTTTGGGTACAAATATGAAACCCTAGTTGGGGTTGTACCCCATATTGGCTACCCCACTACAGCCTACAAGCATAATACAGTTTAACAAGCTGGAATTCCTGTGCAATGGCGTGTAACTTCCCCTGTGCGCCGGCAGAAAATCGTCCGCGTGCGATTCTGAATTGTTACCCTCTATCATTGCGCTTCGATTGAAATTGCAAGAAGGGGATGTACAATTTGGTGCAGTAAGAATACAAACATGTATTTGTCATTATATAAGCGCATGCACTTATATTTTTCACTCAATTATAAGCGCACCCCCCTAAAAAACACTGATTTATTATAAGCGCACCTGCGCTTATATCCGGGGTAATACGGTACCTTGATCGGCACGGCGTCTTAAATATGGTTTCGCAAATACGATTAACTTTGTAAGCCTGAAAATGTTTCATAAACAGCGTCAAACGGGGCTTAATCCAGACGCTGGACTCGGACTGTCAAATGTTCAAAATTAGAACCGTTTTCAGATAGTTGTCCGGACTTTTACGGCTTTTAAAAATGTAACACGCCCTTTTGGGCCATCTTTGCCCGACGTCCTCGCCTAGGAAGGACACGCCCTAATCACGCAGTCCCGTTATTGGGTTAATCAGTCTTGATATTTGTGTGCTTTGTACACTCATACAATATTGAGCCCCATTTCTTACCATTCGCATGTTTCCCCTTACGGATTCTATCTTGCATACCCTAGCGCCACACAACCCTTGATTTTCTCTCCGTCTTCCTTTACCCAGCCAGTCGGGAACCACTTCGCGCACATCCCGTTCAACGTTTTCCATGGGCAGCCCACCGCACGCCTCCGTCTGCCGCCTCGCGCCCACCACCCGTTTGAATCCCCACAATCCCGCCAATCCCGCAACACGTTCTTATCCAGGGCTCTCACTACCCGCACCCTCGTCCGTCGCCCCTCTCTCTTCCGTCTCGGCCCTGCCCTCCGCCGCTCTCCCTCGCACTTGTTCCTCGGCATCCCCTCCGTTGTGCCCGTCGGTAACGTTCAATTCGAGTCTTAAAAGCCTTGCGCCACCCTCCGTTTCTGGAGATTTCAAAAGAGACCCCGGTCGGCCGTTACGGAGGGTGCACGTGGCGAGAGCTGAGGGCGGTCGAGGCGCGGTGAGCGTAACGACGACGGTAGCGGATATTCAGGCGGAGATCGCGGAACTCGAGGACGAGCTGGAAACGACGTTTGGGCGCGGTGAGGCAATGGCGGATGGGCAATGGCGGATGGGCAATGGCGGATGGGCAATGGCGGATGGGCAATGGCGGATGGGCAATGGCGGATGGGCAATGGCGGATGGGCAATGGCGGATGGGCAATGGCGGACGGGCAATGGCGGATGGGCAATGGCGGATGGGCAATGGCGGATGGGCAATGGCGGATGGGCAATGGCGGATGGGCAATGGCGGATGGGCAATGGCGGATGGGCAATGGCGGATGGGCAATGGCGGATTGGCAATGGCGGATGGGCAATGGCGGGTGGACAGTGGCGGGTGGACAATGAAGGAAGGGCAATGGGCGATGAGCAATGGGCGTTGAGGTGGAGATGTGATGAATTTGCAGTCTGCATGGTAATATAGGTCAATGTCGGTTCTCAGGCCATGCAGAGCGCATTTCACATGCCCATCCCCGTCCGTCCCCGCCCCTTCCCCTAGCCAGCCCTCCGCCCTCGCCGTCCCCCTCTCCATCCCTCGCCCCCCTGCAGTGGAGGCGGCGTGGCGACGCTACCACCGACTGAGAGCGGCCCTGGAGCGACTGGATGAGGCTGCAGCGAGGGAGAGGGGCAAGTCAGCAGGGCAGAGGGGAGGGCGTACCACTGCCGCCGGTGGTGACGGCGGTGGTGCCGTGCTGTCGACGCTAGAGCGGCTGGGCGTGGAGCGGCAACGAGTGCTGCATGCGCTGAGACGTGCTGAGGCCCGCGCTGGCGTGCTGGAGCGACTCGTGCGCAGCCTAGCCCAGGTTCTTGTCCCCACACGCCCCTCGCTCTTGGATGTGTCTCCACGTGCTCACTGCTTCCCTGCACGTGTCATCTCACACCTGTTAATGTGGCCTTGCCTCACAATGGTTTTCACCGGTGTCTTCCCTCCCTGTCCTGGACATGTCCTGTTGGAGTCTGGGTGAGGGGTGCCAAGGGGTGAGACTGGACAGGGAATCCGGGGGTGGGCAACAGTTGTGAGTTGAAGCATGCTTGTGGGAAGAGGGGATGGGCATGGCAGATCTCTTTCCTCCCCATTCCCCCGTCTCACCCTCTCCTCCCATCCTCCCTCGCACGCGCAACAGGCCATTGCAATGCGCGAGCGCCGCCTTCTGGGCTCGGCAGTTGTAACCCGCACCTCACCCGCAGCAGCCCTGCAGGGGTCGAGGCTGCCCGCAGCAGGGGGCAGCAGCAAGCGGAGTGCAGCAGCAAGGGGGCGCGGGCAGGGGAGTGAGGCGCAGCAGCGAGCGCAGGGGCGGCGGGAGAGGATTCTGAGGATGTACCTGGGGGAGGTGCAGGGGCTGCAGGAGGAGGTGCAGCGCAAGGTGGCTCTGCTGGAAGAGGTGCTGCAGGCACGCGAGCGGGAGGAGAGAGGTGATGAGCGCTTTGAGGCACGCCCACGCGGGAGTGGCGGTGCAGAGAGGGAGGCGGCGGGGCAAGCGGTGGGGAGTGGTGAGCGGAGACGGAGTGATGCTGTGAGGGGTGCGAGGGAAGGTGGGCAGGGGGAAGGGGGTGAGAAAAGGGGGCAGCAGAGCAAGGCAGACGGGTGGAATGGTGTTGAGCAACGGGGGCAGGGGAGCATTAGGGAGGAAGGAAGGGGTGAAGAAAGGGCCAAGTTGCAACAGGCGAGGCAGCTGCTGGTGCAGCTGCAGGCACTCGAGAAGAGGTGCGGATCCATTGTCCTGGCTCCCTTGCTGCTGTTTGCACATCTAGAATATACACGTCTCTTGGTGTATGCATCCTGCACCTACACTCTGTCTCCCCCATTACACTTGCACTCTTTCACTATCGCGCTTGCGGCCTAGTCACTATTGTACTTGCACTCCCTCCCCCGCCCCCTCTTTCCATGCCATTCATATCCCTTTCTTGATGTGCCACTTCCTGTCTTTCCTGCTGTCTTTTGCAGCTTATATTCCAAACTTGGTCGATGACAGACAGGAACGTCCCTCTGTTCTGGTGTTTTAGAGACAAACTGAAGCATTTCCAACCCGACGAAGTTTGACTTGACCATACAAGAGTTGCAGCAAAGTTTGACCGTGTTCGGTCCAGCATACGACCGAATCGAACCTTTTCACTGTTCATTATACAGAAACGCGGATATGAACTCTTCTGAAGCTGGGTCTAGGAAAGTGCACCAGTTGTGGAGGAGGTGTTGTAGTGGAAGCTTTGAATTCTCATACGTGTTTACAAAATGCTAATCGCTTCCTTAATTAGACAACCGAAGTACTTGTATCAGGTCAAACGTGCCGATCTCGTGGGGGGAGGTGGTTGTTGATTTCCCGCGCTTTTCTTCTGAACATCCTCGCTGCCAGAAAGGGCTGCAAGCGCCTCGTGATTGATTTGAGGGCCACAGCGACGCGGTCAGGTGAGATCGTCTATTTGACAGTAGCAGAGCAGGTACAGTATTATTGGTTCTTCTTGGCCCGTCACCACCCTACACCATCTAGAACCCCAAAAGAATGTACTTCGCATGACCCAGCCAGCAGTTCTGTACTGCCAATCTCTAGGTTGGGGTACGACTACACCTCGAAATATGAAGAAAGGCGTTGCAAAAAAGTCATGAAGGGTAATTGCCTTGAAGAATTGGCTTGCCAGGGAGGATGTTTGTTTCTCTCCCTCCCACCACCGATCACCACCACACCACCCTCAATTTCTGTCATCCTGAAGTGGCCCAGAGAGTAGCTGGTTCACCCAGCGAGGAGCGTGGGCGGGTTACGACCGACAGCCAGGTGTGGTTAACACCCAGAGGGGTTTCCCCCCCTCCTTTAACCCTCAATTTCTGTCGCCTTCTCATTTCACCACACCACCCACATGGTGCAGTAATGCGATTCGATTGGTCAGCACCGCACAGCACATGCATCCAGCCAGCCAGCATTTGGGAGCAGGTAGTAGAGACCTATTTTGCACTGCGCATTGATCAGGTCAGGTGATACCCTCCCACTAAGCTTACATCGCACAAGAATACAGAAGCAAGCCAACGCGCGCCATCCAGCCAGCACGAGATTAAGGCAGTCTGTAAACAGCCGTGACGTGAGCCGTAACGGACCAAGCCTTTTCGATCTCCGGGTTGCGCTCACGCTGAATCCGTGTCCGTGCGATGGTATCCGAGTCTCGCCGCCACTCAAGTCCAACCGACATCGTTTATGAAGAGATCGTGCGCGTTGCGTACCGAGAGACATAAGTTGACGGAAGGCGGCTATTTGGTAGGGGTAGGGTAAGACCACTTCAACATGCTCTCCCAGTTCTCGCGCCTGACCGTGTCTCGTCGCGTCTCCCTCACACCAAGTCCTTCGACGACGCTTCACCCACACACCCGCTGCTCCGCCGAACTCTCCAGCGCTCAACGGACACGTAACTCTACAACCGGCGGACCGTTCAACCTCATAAGTAAACGCGGACGTAGGGATCATGGGTTCTCCAGACGCAGCGACTCGACGCTACCGCAGCAGCCGCGCACGTAATCCGCACGACGCGCGGATGTCTAGTAGAGGAACAAGCGGCGGCGGTTGCGCCTGGGCGCTGCTACTCGTGGTGCTCCTGTTAGGTCAGGGCGTTCAAGACGTCGCCGCGGCGGCGGTGGACTATGGCGACGCGATGGCGAAGGCGATTCTGTTCTTCGAGGCGCAGCGGTCCGGGCAGCTCACGGGCGCCGCGATTGCCACCACCATCACGTGGCGCGGCGACTCGGGTCTTTCCGACGGCACCGCGCAAGGGGTAAGGAACGACCCGCGCGGCTTGTGTATTTACTGGGGGGAAAATGAGCCGAGCGCCACAATTATCTCACTCACTCGCACGCACCACCGGTGTCAACTTCCGCCTTCTCCCCGGTGCTTGCAGGTGGATCTGCGCGGAGGGTACTACGAGGGCGGCAGCAACGTGAAGGCGGGGCTGCCGGGGGCGTTCGCCGCCACCATGCTCGCGTGGAGCCTCGTTGACTTTGGCCGCCACATCCTCGCTGCGGGCGGCGCCGCGCAGCTCTCCGCGGCGCGCGACGCGCTGCGGTGGGGCACGGATTACGTCATTAAGGCGCACACCAAACCCGAGGAGCTCTGGGCGCAGGTGGGCAGCTCTGGGCGCAGGTGGGCACCTCGGGCGCAGGTGAGGAGCTCTGGGCGCAGGTGGGCACCTCGGGCGCAGGTTGGGGGGAATGGGCACAGGTGGGTGGGGAAGGGGGGGGGAGGAGAGGGGAAGGGCGCAGGTGGGCAGCTCTGGGCGCACGTGGGTGGGGGGGGAGGGCGTACGTGGGCGGGTGAGGGGTGTGCGCACAGTTGGGGCGGGGGACAGGGCGGGGTGTTGGTGCAGGTGGGCGGGATGGGTGTGAGTGCAGGTCAGGTGCCCGCGCTCGCCTGCAGCGACTGAATCTTTTACGGATCTCGAAAAAATAATATCAGTTGGTGAAGCAGCTCGTGAGCTATGGCCTAGTACTTTCTGCGTGCGGTGTGGCGCATGGTGCATGCAGGTGGTGGGGGAAAGGGAGGGGTGTGGGCTAAGGTCACGCACCTGTTCTTGCCTGCGCCTCTGATTCTTCTTTATGTTTCTAGACGTCGAAGCATTCTGTCCAATGCATGCCCGCTGGTGTGTGTGGCTGCTTTGCATGCGCATGCTGTGTGGGTGGTGGCAGGTGGGCGACTGGGTGACGGACGGGGCGTGCTGGCAGCGGCCGGAGGACATGGGCACATCGCGCACGGCATACCGCATCAATGCCACCCGCCCCGGATCCGACCTCGCCGCTGAATCCGCCGCCGCCCTCGCCTCCGCCTCCCTCGCCTTCCGAGACGTCAACGCCTCCTACGCCGCCTCCTGCCTCGCCCACGCACAGCAGGTCAGCATACTGCAGGGGGGTTGGGTCTCTCGCGCTGCAGGTCAGCCAGGGGGGGTGTGTGCTTGATGGTTGCCTTGCCATGTGATGTGTTAGAGGCAGTGAATTAAGTGTAAATCAGCAGTTGGCGTTCGTACTCTCTTTACACCTCTTCTCTTCCCCCACCTCCCTTGCCCCACCACGCTTCTCGCACCAGCTGTTTGTGTTTGCTGACAAGTACCGCGGAGTGTACAGCTCAGTCGTCCCTGGAGCGGTCCTCAAGTTCGCCTCCACAGGGTACACGGTGAGCAGCGTAGGAAGAGAAAGAGCACGGCATGGCGCACACAGCATGGCGCACACAGCATGGCGCACACAGCATAGCGCACACAGCATGGCGCACACAGCGGGCAGCACACAGCGTGCAGCACACAGCGTGCAGCACACAGCGGCTGCTGGCAGGTTTGGCATGTGTCCATGTGGGTGCTCACCTCGTGCGAGGGCCCTGTTTGACCAGTTTAGGTCGCTGGCAGACCAAGGTACCTAGCAGAAAAGCGTGGGAGAAAGAGAGAGAGTGATTAGTCGTTCACAGCAGAGGGAGCGTGAGGAAGTGATAGAAGACAGGACTGCTACGAATGAAGGAGTGATGGAGTCAGGGAGTGAGAGTATGTAGGCATTGTGGCCCAGCAGCGAAGGTTTTCCCAGCCAGCCTGTTGGTTACCCTGCTGCTACAACAATGACACTCTCCACTTGATTCCTTCCTCGCATGACCCAACCCTGCTTCTTCTTCCTCCTGCTCCACCCACCGCTCTCTCCCTCTCTCCCACCCTACCTGCCCCTTCCCATGCGTTGCATGCAGGACGAGTTGGCGTGGGCAGCAGTGTGGTTGTACAGGGCGACGGGGCTGAAGCGGTATTTGGAGTATGTGCAACGCAACGAGGCGGCCATCGGGGGGACGCAGCAGATGACCTCGGAGATGAGTTGGGACCAGAAACTGCCCGGCGCGCAAGTGCTGCTCGCGCAGGTCAGTGCTGCTCGCTCGCCAGGGGAGCGATGGTGTTGGTGGGATAAGTAGCAGCTGTGCTTCATTCAACCTGCACTTTATGACTAAAGAAATCGTCACCCTTCCTCCCCACGGCCTTCTCTCGGCCCCTTGTTGCCAGGCGTTGTGGGCGGGGCTGCCAGCGAGCATCCAGGGGAGTGCGGCGATAATGGGGGTGGTGGAGGGGTATGCAGGCATGGCGCAGCTGTATGCGTGTGCGCACATGCCCGCCAACCCCCTGCAAGCCGTCTACACCACGCCCGCCGGGCTGCTGTATGTGCGCGGCAGCAACGCGCAGCTCGCCCTCTCCTCCGCCTTCCTCCTCGCTCTGCTCGCCGACTCCCTCGCTGCCGCCTCCCGCACCCTCCACTGCCAAGGCGTCTCCTTCTCGCCCTCCCAAATCACCGCCTTCGCCCAGTCGCAGGTCAGCCCACCTCCACCACACCATGCATGCATGCACATGCAGGAGGGTGCACAATCCCATGCATGCATGCGTGTCTCTACAAGAGCAGCACTGTGTGAAACTTAATCGAACTGCACAGAGGGCAAGCTCCTCTGGCGGGACACACACACGATCCGCCATCTGCTGTTGCCCGACCACCACCTGCCTCCCCTGCTGCCTCGCCGCATCCCCTTCCCCCCTCTCCCCCCCACCAGGTAGACTACCTGCTGGGCAGCAATCCGCTCGCCCTCTCCTTCATGGTCGGCTTTGGCACCGCCTTCCCACAGAAGGTGCACCACCGGGCGGCGTCCATTGTGTCATTCAACGTGGACCCCACGCCAGTCACCTGCCAGGGCGGCAACACCACCTACCTGCAGAGCGCCTCCCCCAACCCCAACGTGCTCGTTGGTGCCATCGTTGGCGGCCCCAACGCCGTGAGTCCTGATCAAGGGAGGGGGGGAGGAGGGGCAATGCTGTGAGTCGTGCTCGAAGGGAGGGGGGAAGGAGGGGCAACGCTGTGAGTCGTGCTTGAAGGGAGGGGGGGAGGAGGGGCAACGCTGTGAGTCGTGCTTGAAGGGAGGGGGGGAGGAGGGGCAATGCTGTGAGTCCTGATTGGAGGAAGGGGGTGGGAGGGGCAACGCTGTGAGTCGTGCTAGAAGGGAGGTGGGGGGCAATGCTGTGAGTCGTTGTGGTGTGGAGTGAACCAGCTTGTGTTCTGCATGCGCTTGGGAACGTGGGGAGTTGTTCTTGGCACGGCAACGCAGTAGTGGACGCAAGCACAGGCCCATGCCGTGGGTCCTGCTTGAGGGGGGAATGATGGGGGGCAAGGCCATGAGTCGTTTCGAGTGATTTTTCACCCGTGTTTGCGTTATGTATGTGCTTGTAGGGGAAACCCTGTGAGGGGGTTTGGTGTGAACGTACCAGCATCCATTGATGTCGAAGCACAACCATGCATACACAAAGACCTACCGCAGACCGATGGCTTTCTGGGTTCACGGCTGCACTTGCCTTTCCCAACCATGCCCTGCCATCCCCTTCTCCCCCCTTTCCCCGCCCCCCCAGACGGATGGCTTTGTGGACTCGCGGGTGCAGCCGGCCTTCACGGAGCCCTCAGCCGCCGCCAATGCCGTCGCTGTCGGCCTCCTCGCCCGCCTCGCTGCCGGCGCCCTCCCCCCCGCCTCCCCGCCTCCCCCCTTCCCCCCCGCTCCCCGCTCCCCTCCTCCACCCAAGGGCAAGCGCCCCCCGCCACCCAAGTCAACGACCCCCAGGGCACCCCCCGCTCCTGTGTCTGGTGAGATGCTGACGGTACCTGGCAGCTCGCGGCCTGCTCATACTGCTGTCTGCTGCTTCTGCTGCTGCCGCTGCTGCCGCCGCCGCGACTGCTGCTGCTGCTGCTAGATAAGCCTTGCATCCGATTTGCGTCGCTGTTTTGTGGTATGGGAGGCACCTTGATTTGCACACTGGCTAAACTCTTAACAAACCCTCCATCCGATTTCTCCTCTTATCCCTGTTTATGCGTGTGTACTTGTGTGTGTGTGTGCACTTGCGCATGCGTTTGTGTGTGCATGTGCGTGTGTGCGTGTGTGTCCCCTGGGCAGCACCTTTGAGCCTGGTGAACGTGTCGTGCACAGTGACGGGCAGCTGGCAGCAGTACGGCGAGCAGCAGAACATGTGGAGCTGCGACGTGAGCAACACCAACGCCTCCTTTGCTGTGCGCGACGTGGCCCTTGCGTGCTTCAACTTTGAACCCTTCAACGCATGGAATATCGAGGTGCGCAGCACAAGGTGCAAGGCTGGGGTGAGGAAAGAGAGCCAGAGGGGCAGGAGCGGGGTCTGAGCGAGTGGGGTAGGTCTGAGGATGGAGTAGAGGAAGGCGAAGGGTTGGGGGCAGTGGATTGAGCTGAGAATGGGTGGAAGCCTTCCACAGCAATGTCCTCGGGTTAACATTTGTGTTGTGCTGTCCTTCGGCTGCAGGTTGTTTCATGCTCTCTGCCCTCATGGGCACAGTACATTCCCGGAGGTGGCAAGCGCAACTTTGGGTTCATCCAAGCAGCACGGCTAAAACCATCGTTCAAAGCCACATGGGTCACCTGGCTAGGTCCGCCCCTTCCTCCTCCTAGGAAACCTAGAGCAGCAACATGCATCCCCCCATCTGCGTTCCTAGGAAAGCTGCAATGCCAGGTTCTAGGCATGGGCTGTTGTGTGCAAGTGAGCGCACCACCACCACCACCAGTAACATAGTGGTGATGATGGTAACCCTGCATCATTGAGACTTTAGAATGTTGTGGACGGAGAGTCGCTTGTGGTGGATGACTTGGGAGGGAGGATGTTGTGATGTTTGTTACTTAGTATCCTATTGTAAAATTTGCACCAACCGTTTAAGAGATTGGTCTGTTGCAAAGTTGCAAAACATGTTAAAGAACTACCGTAACTAACCTTAGGACTTAGGAGCGTGGTGTTACGAGAGGAACATGGCTGTAAGGAATTACAATTCCTTACTGTACTCGCATTTTAGCGAGTACAATCCGAACACCACGCGTCAGCCTGGTTCGGCCTACTTTTCCGCCCCGAACCACTTCCGAGTCGCCACCGCTCCAATCGCAACACTTCCCGATCCATCCTAGCCCGACCCCTTCGCCTAGCTAGGGTTCCCCTTATAAAACCTCGTCACTTTCCTTGTATCGTCATTCAGTAGTTCATTCATTCTCGTTATTCGTTTTACTGCGCACTCTGCAAGTTCATTCATAACACCTGGTATCAGAGCTACTTTCCTAGCCTACCCCGCTTTTTAGAGTGTAATACCCCTCGGGGGGGGGACGAGGAAGGATGTCTTGGGGTCCAGGAGTTGCGTAGGCCGGCCAAGAGAACTAGTTAGTTGCTCTTCGCGGCGATGTTTTTACGGGCACTCCTTGGGCACCGCCAGATCCTTAGCTCGAACGGTCGCGATCGACCGTGACCTCCCTCCCCCCGGGCAACGGACAGCTGTAGCTGTCGCGACATTGAACGTGAGTTTTTTCCGCTGCGTCGCGACGATTTCGGAGTTATTTTCGTGTGGCAGCTGGCGTTAGCGGACCTGCGTCGACGGCTGCACGAAGATTTCGGAGTCGTCGTCTTGTGCGGCAGTTGACGTGGGTCGTCGTCAACTTGCGCGCGACATTTTCGGAGTGTTGCACCTGTTGACAACGGACATGCAGCACTGTGGGCGACAATTTCGGAACTGTTGAAGAAAAAACAAGGGGCAACTGTACGGACTCGCCAGGCGCTAAAGTAATTGCGTCTGAAAAAGCTGGTGACGAGGAGAGACGCCACGAGGACTGCCCGATTTATGCGGGAGTCAACTGCCGTCCCGCCCGACCTGTTAAGTGCAGCGGCCTTTACTGCATTGGCGGGCGCGTCATCAACGTTTTCGGCAGAAGTGCATGTGGACAGACGGGAGCTTTGGACCCGCCGACACTTACGGGCTGCAACAAACAACGGAGTGGCTAAATCGCACTCAGCGGAGTGGGACGCAGGCGGCGAGGGCAATTTGGGCCGGACACTCGAAAAATCCTCGTTCGACGCTGCGTGCCTGGAGTTGTTGCCAGCTGTTCGACCGTTTCGAGATCGGTTTCCCCGTCCCGGGAAGTCGTTTTCGGGGACAGCCGCAACAGCCCACGATTAAACGGTGTTCAACGTACTACCCCGCCAATTTCGGAGGTGTGTGGTACAGGCCGCCGGGACACACGAGAAGAAACTGCCCAGCGGCTAAGCGGGGTTGAAGAACGGGGTGGGGAGCAGATTAAACGCCGGTGGAACCGATCTGCGGCCCTACTTCGCCCGAACCTCACCATCCCCACCGATTACTGGTTCCGACTCATGCAGTCGACCTTTTTCGGATGAATAACGGGGGTGAACACGTGCCTACCCTGTGCTGGTTAAAGGCACCTGGTTTGGTGCTCGTTCGACAGCTGTACGAAAATACCAAAAAAAGGGAGTTCGCGGCACTGTTCTACTCCGACAAAAGCGGGCTGGGTGAACGGCACGCGAAAAAGTCGGGGAGCTGCGATGACAACAACGGTGCAGTTTACTGGTTTCTCCTGACCCGGACGTCTACATGAGTTGACTGCGCAGCGGCGAAGCTGAGACCCGGAACCTGCGGTATTACGTGGCGTGATAGGCTGGTGGGCTGCAAAGCGGTCGGGTGCGAGCTTTTTAAATAAAAGTGCCCCGACTCCGATAGCATTTGCGCCTGCACCGTAGCCGGATTATCGCGCGGGCATCATCGACAATACCCCATCTGACAAAAGCGGACGCTGGGTGAACGGCGGGAAGCGAAATTGTCGGGGGGTGAAGACAAAAAAAAATGTTGTGGAGGGAAAGTTGTGGGTGATCCAGCAGATCACTTGAGTGAGAGGTTGAGAACGTGCACCACTCCACCGCGAATTTCGGAGTCTATTCGGTAGACCTTCGAAAGGGTTTGATATTTATACATGGAGGCGCGGCGAGGGGTGCATCGCCAAGGATACCTGGGATTCGTTAAGTGGCTTCGACGGGTATGAAGATGGGTGAACATCGGAGTACCAGGGTTAACGGCGGAAACGTCGGGGCTACACGGCGGAAAATAACTTCGGGACTGCTGCCTCAACCGCGATTTTCGGGTGATTACGACACAAAAAAATGGGTGGAATCGAGGGTGTTCAATAACACGCCTCCGAAAATTCTTCAGTATACGTGGGAGCAGCAGAAAGCTTCAGAAAATTCCTGCCAACGACGAGCAATCTGCCACGTCGGCAAAGCGCTGGCGGGAGAATCGTGGTTTTCAGTTAAACAACATTGGCAGGAGCAGTTCGACGACAAGGTCGTAGGCATTGAGGCGCGCTAGGCTCCGTGAACGACGGTCTCGGAATAACCCAGGGCAAGTCCCCGGTTCCCGATTATACCCGCATGCTGGGTTCGGGTGAACTGACGGAAACTACTGGTGACTGAGTGGGCGGCTATACTACGACCGAAAATTTCGGAGGAGAACTACACCTGCCGCCGAGAATTTACGGGGGTTTCGACAACGACATTTGCAGAGTTTTACGGACGAACTTACCGGTTACGGCGGGAAGCGCCGACATTTTCGCGGGATTTCTTGGCTTTTGGTTACACGCGCGCGACAACAACGTGAGACAACATCGCGGGAACTACACAGAGTTTTTCAGGGGTACGAGCGACTTACGACGAACTTTAGGTGGCAGCAGCAACAGTGGAAGGGGGGAGAGACAGCTGTAATTTTTTCATCTCTGCCCAGGAGTCACCGGCGCATTACGACAAAGCGTTCGGCGAGTCTGGACAAACCCGCTGGGAGTGATGACGTCATTTGACAAGAACACCGCATTCGGCAAATTCGACCGGAGGGATTTTCGATACGGTTACTACTTCGAAGACCATCGCCAACTCTCGTCTTCAACTTCGCGACCAATCGCCTTCACCACCGAATTTTCGTATCATCCCCGATTTTACTGCCAGAGGATTCGGAATACAACCGCTCCAATTCTACTAACGACAACCCGCTCAACTCGACCCGACAGCGACAAACGATCTGATTTCACCACGTCAGGTGCTGCCCGCTGCAGCTGCGGAAAGTACCATCGAAATTCTGGTGGTGTAACGACAAAATTTGACAGTTCGAGCAACGACGATTTTTCATCGCAGTTTCTGGTCTACTTCGACAAGTTCGCCCTTGAGAATTTTGGGGCCCTTAATGTCAGAATTATATATAACTGCATGTAGTTCTAGCTGTAGTGTAGTCATACATTTGTTCTTGCTTGGTGGTGCACCCTTCCTGAACTATAACTTGTACTTGTTTCTCATATTGCATCATTCCTATTTTCGACTTTCTCTCTTGGCACAAACTTCCTCTCCCCCCTTGGCCTAGGCTACTAAGCCTAGGCCCTAAACCTAACTACCACTTGTGCTAGTATCTCAACATGGCATTAGAGCCTGTTACGTCCTGGCCTGTGGGCCTGCCTCAAGCTTCCGCTGCTGTTTTTCCGGTCGCGCGCCTCGGGCGCGTGGCGAATTTCCTTCTGTCCCGCGCCCGGGTGGCGCGTGACGTTTTATCTGCTCGTCGCGGACCCGCCCCTGGCGCCCGCGACGGTGCCCTGAGCCGCCGCGGACCCGCCCCTGGCGCCCGCGACGGTGCCCTGAGCCGCCGCGGACCCGCCCCTGGCGCTCGCGACAGTGCCCTGAGCCGCCGCGGACCCGCCCCTGGCGCCCGCGACGGTGCCCTGAGCCGCCGCGGACCCGCCCCTGACGCCCACGACGGTGCCCTGAGCCGCCGCGGACCCGCCCCTGGCGCCCGCGACGGTGCCCTGAGCCGCCGCGGACCCGCCCCTGGCGCCCGCGACGGTGCCCTGAGCCGCCGCGGACCCGCCCCTGGCGCTCGCGACTGTGCCCTGAGCCGCCGCGGACCCGCCCCTGGCGCCCGCGACGGTGCCCTGAGCCGCCGCGGACCCGCCCCTGGCGCCCGCGACGGTGCCCTGAGCCGCCGCGGACCCGCCCCTGGCGCCCGCGACGGTGCCCTGAGCCGCCGCGGACCCGCCCCTGGCGCCCGCGACGGTGCCCTGAGCCGCCGCGGACCCGCCCCTGGCGCCCGCGACGGTGCCCCTGCCTCACCCGCGCCTGCACTCGGTGCAGCCGCCCCTGTGCTTCCTTTCCCCTCCTCCTCCTTTCGTTCCCACTGCTGCAGCTGCCGCTGGGGGGGAGGGTGTGAGGGTGTGGGGGAGCCGGGGGAGTGGCACTGGGGTGGCGGGTGTGAGACCAACCAGCAGCCGTCCCTCCACCTCTCCTCTCTTCCCCCCTCTGCTGCTCCTGCAGCAGTGTGGGGGGGAGGGGGAGGGGGGGGGTGAGGGGAAGGAAGGGGTGACCAGCCAGCGCCAGCCCGCCTCCTCTCTCTCCCTGCCACCCCTCCTGTGGTCCGGGGGGGAGGAGAGTAAGGGGGTGGCAGAATTGCCTTGCTGTCGCCTGCCCCTTTGCTGCCGAACCTTTTCTGCTGCCTTGCCTGCTGTTGCTGTTTTCTCGGTCTGTGGTGTACCCCTGCAGGTTGTGTCTTTCACTTAGCTATTCCTGCATGCAGTTACGGGGGGATGTCAGAATTATATATAACTGCATGCAGCTCTAGCTGTAGTGTAGTCATACATTTGTTCTTGCTTGGTGGTGCACCCTTCCTGAACTATAACTTGTACTTGTTTCTCATATTGCATCATTCCTATTTTCGA